ACAACTTAGAAAATATTCACAGGCTAATCATAAATCAGCACAAATAACCCTTCTCCTAGGAAACATTGCGAAGCAGTAGTGGAGCTTCTGTGGGTGATCTCATGTGTTGTACCAAAACGTCATTTTTTAAACCCCCAAAGAGGACAAAAACCAAAGTCTGAGCACATATTTGTAGTCTTTAGGAGCTAGAATACTGCATATTCTGGGAAATAAAGCGGATGAGTAGTGGCAGGTAATCGAGCTATGTGTTAATTTATCCTTCTGGTAGTCTGTGGTCTGAACTCTGAGGGGACTGCTACCTAAGGTGAAATGATTTAGGTGAAAATGGCTGCACCAAGAGGCACAAAAGGAAATAAGGAAATGTAAGGACACTGGAAAAAGAAATCCATAGACACTCGCACCTTCTTAATGATTTGCTGATGTTAAAGTTGCCTGTCACTGGGTGCTAACACAGATGCTTCTGGCTCTTCTCATCAGAACTGCTCTTATTAATTACATTAAATTTAAAATGAATGCCATCCACCCACCATTCCTTAATTAGTCCAACAGATATTTATTGTATGCCTTTTATGTCCCAAATACTATTTCATGTTGTAGAACTACAGAGGGAATAGATAAAAATCTCTTCATAATGCTTATGATCTAGTAAATTGTGCTGGAAAAGTTTACTGGCTCAAGCTCTTCATTCTAGTGATGAATGCTAGCTAATCATGGTTATCTTTTTTTTTTTTTTTTAAGCTTAGAATGAGGTAAGGCTCTTGTAAGGATTGGAGTTAGTCCTCAGTTAATATGATTTCTTTCTGGTTGATGGAGCTAAGTCATAAAGATTCTCATCTGAGTATTGTGAAGGGTCCAAAAGGGAAAGTGAATTACCAGAGTATTTCCAAGGGTAGATTTTGTATTCACCCTTGAGAAAAAGAATCAACCATCAACTTACTTCCTGAATTGGCTTTTTAAAAATTTTAAGATAGCCACACTTGAAAATATAGGTCATTGATTTGTTAGGCACTGCAGGGGAAAGAATAAAAGCATTGAAAATTTTGAAAATCTCTGACAAATTTAATCTATATATTGACTAAAAAATGTATGTTAAAAATCTCTCTGTCTTTACAAAGATACTATTTTTGTTTCCAGTATAATACATTTTTATTTCCAAGCACAAATCATTGGATCCTTTGAAGTATTGTTTGTCATATTAGGTGGATGTATTTATCCATACTTATTTTAGTATTAACATTAAATAACATTTAGTAAGTATCAGTCAACTAAGTACATTGAAGGGACATACAGAAAAGACTAAAACCTACCTCTAACTCTTAAGGAGATTTGGCACTGAGCTTTGAAAGATATGTGCTGTGCACTAAATATTTTCTAAAAGTTGTTTAATATGCTTATATATCTTTGAAATAAATTCCTGTGGCTTTGGGACAAGCTTTTATTTTTTAGAGAGAGTTTCTTTTCGGGTGTTTTCATTTATAAAACTTAATATGTAAAGGAACCTTAACATGGTTACTTGCTTAAAATGAAAATGAAAACGAAGGTTGGTAATATCTATGGAAAAGTTGAAAACAGTCATTAAGTACTATTGAAAATATAGATGCCCGATATACAAATAAATGAGTTTTTGAAACAGAAGAGCTAGAAGTGAAGCAAATGATTCTAAACTTTAGCACTGTTGCAGGACACTCTGACTTCTTTATTATTCCTCAGCAGTTGACGAGTCATAGGTATGTCAACTTCGAAAAGATTCAAACCATTTTCTTTCTCAGTTTTACTCTGTGCAACACCAAATAATAGTAATTGCATATAATTAATATTATTTAATAGTATCAGTAATAGCCAGGTTCTTATCCTATATGATTTCAGTTCTAGGTAAATGAAGGAATGATAGTACTTGTGTGCAAATGATGTATTTTAAGAACTACATTAGCCATAATTTCAAAATGTATGTGAAAAAAGAATATTTAAATGGCAATAATGAGAATGTTTATATCTTTCTCTGTAACTGCATACCAGAGTATATAAAGCAGCTGTATTTTGATTGTTTTGTGTATTTTCAGTAGCTTGACCATTTAACTTTCAAGCTGAGAAGTACATTCTTAGCTAATTTTAAGATTAAGGTTCATTACTAGCTTGAAAGACTTTCTTCCTTCTTGATTGTGATATTTGTAGTATTTTCAGATCTGTTGCTACTCAGCCTTATTTCCTCTTACCTTTATGATGAATATGTTATAAAAGGAAACTTACTGAATTTCTTCTTGCTTAGCCAAAGTTTAGAGAACTGTTTATAATCCTAAGGTCTGAAAATATCAGAAATAAGTTAACAGCTTAATTAGGTATTTTACTAGAAGTGGAATACTTTATATCATTTTGAAATAACTACATTTGTTCTTCAGAGAGGAAAGACTCCCTGTGTATAGAACTCTAAGGTGGGAAAATAGGAGTCTTTTTAAATGGGAAGATGTAGCTATCGGTGATGATTCTGCTGAGAGAGGATATAGGTGTTGATCATCGCTCCCAGTGCTACAGCACACTTAATCCATAGTCCTTTCTAGTTTCTTTCTTAAAAGTACAAAGTGGCTGATAATTCTTTTGATTGCTAGCAAATAGTAAAAATATTTTAAAAATATAACACAATTATCTGTAACTCAGAGCAGTAGGTTCTGTAATGTTTTTGTGAGTCCTATGATTCTACATTTTCTTCTTGTGTCATTTAATATTTGAAAAATCTTTGGCTATCAAAGGAAATTTACCAAAGTATTTATTAAGATACCCATTTTCAGTTTTGACAGGAGGCTGTCCACAATATTGCAATCTAAAGATAATTACACTTCCCCTATATATATGTACAATTATTATGTATTAATTTAAAAAACAAATTTTCAAAAAAATCCAAAGATACATATGAAACTGAAGACTCTTGTGCTGCTTTGAAGCACTGAGCTTTAAAGAGATGAGTTTGGTTGGACAAAATAGTAACCTGGCAACTCTATTTCCCTTATTAATATAGTCTCCACGTAGTGGTATGCATAATTTAGAGAACTTTTGCCCTCCTCTTGGACTTACGATTCTGACATTTCTGCAACCAGTGACATATGTTGCTCACCATGATTTTCAAGCAAGGAAAGCTGTGTAATTCAATGTTTAATATGAATGTTTTTTTTTAATATATAGTTCCTCGAGGTTATGATTTAAGATTTCAGATATGCTTAAGGTTTAAAGAGAAAGCTGAGAAAACAGCTCTCATTCATATTAAATTAAAAAGCTTCTGCACAGCAAAAGAAACAGTCAACAGAATGAAAAGACAACCTACAAAATGGAAAAAAAGGTTGGCAGCTATTCCTCAGATAGAGGACTAATACCTAAAATATATAAAGAACTCAAAAAAGTAATTCCCTTCAAATAAAAAACCTAGTCAAAAGATCAGCAGGTGAAATGAATAGGCACTTCCCAAAAGAAGTACAGATGGCTACGAAATACATTAAGAAATGCTCAACATGGCTGGTCATTAGAGAAATGCAAATTAAAACAACACTAAGATTCCATCTTACTCCAGAAAGAATGGCCATCATCAAGAAATCAAATAATCAGAAGTGCTGGCAAGGCTGTGTGTGTGCTGGGGGGGGGGAACCCTTCTACACTGTTGGTGGGACTAAACTGATACAACTGCTGGAGATTTCATAAAAACTAAAACTAGAAATTCCATTTGATTCAGCTATTCCCCTTCTAGGTATCTTCCCAAGGGAGCTACAGACGTTGTATTATGGTAATACATGTGTAGCCGTGCTTGCAGCAGCAAAGCTCATAATGCCTGAATCTTTGAAGCAGCGTATATGTTGACCAACACACGAGGGGTAAAGAAAATGAGTATTGACATAGAGTGGAGTACTACTCTGTCATTAAGATAGCCATTTGTAGGAAATGACTTTACAAATAATGAGTAGGAAAAAAGGTGCATCTTGAGACCATAATATTAAGTGAAATTCACAAATTATATAGAACAAAATAAAAGATAGATCATAGGAAGTAGGGAGATAGATCTTTCTGAAATGGGAGTGGACCAAGTGATGAGGGAAGAGGGGAGGGAAGAGAAAAGGGATGAGAAAGGAATTAAGATGTGTTGTGTACATATACCAACTCCACACAAAGAATGGGATCATTCTGTACGACAAATATGGACTAATTTTTTTTTAATTTTAAATTTTTAAAATTTTAAACAGAATAAAAAATAATTAAAAAAAATTAGAAACGATTCAGAATTTCAAAAAACAAGATGATAGAAATTCAATCGTTGTTATATTGCATATTGTTGTCTTCAAAGTAGTTGTTCAGATTACCCGACATAAGCATAACATTGGTCAGAAAAACTAAACATTAACTTCCCTTCAGTAAACCCATAGAAGTTAGTAGAACAATTTTCTTAGCTGTATTTTTGACCACAGCATGCAGTACTCACAGTTTCTGCCCGACACCCTGGTGAGAGCGAGCCAGGGCTGTAGAAATAGTCCTCAAAGAGGGAGTACCGTGTACCGCCTTTTCCAGACACATAATTTGAACTGCAAAGATTTGGTGAAAATGAGATTAAAAGCCATAATTTTCAAGTCTAGGGTCAATTTCTTGTGTAGTTTCACCTCTTCACCTCCAAAAAGGAGCAAAAACCTTTGACCCTTTTCATCCTGTGTTAGATTTGTCTTCTTAGAACTTGAAATCTTTGGTTGGGGCTGGTATAACATCAGAACACTGGTGTATTCCACAATGAAATATTGCCAGCAGTATGTCCTAAACTTCTGCATGCCATCTAGGGTTTTCAGAGTAAACTGTTTGTATATTATGTAGGAATTCAGTTAGTTGGGATCAGCTGGCATTCTTTTAGAGAAGCATTTTTAGTTAGTATATTCTGGTCTAAGATTATCTCCTGGGTTTCTTGTTTATCTTATGAAAACTAAACAGAAAAATCCAGTTTCATGTTAAGAAAGACTAAATGCAATTTTTTTCAACAGGTTATATCAATCAGTGAAAATTCTGTATTCCTTTGGCATTTTTGTGACATATTCAATTCAGTTCTATGTTCCAGCAGAGATCATTATCCCTGGAGTCACATCCAAATTTCGTGCAAAATGGAAGCAAATGTGTGAATTTGGGATAAGGTCCCTCTTGGTTAGTCTTACTTGTAAGTATCATTACATATGTGTATCATAATAATTCTTTCACTGTTGAATTTCTTAAAATGAAAGCTACTGAAATTGAATCTTTCAGTATTTCTAAGATAATTGTATTCACTTAGCTGTGATACTTTGGGGGTTAAAGTTGTTTTCCCACTGCTGTAAATTTTCTGCTGTGAGTGAAGAAACACAAATCTAATCCTAGCACATTAAAATGGCAAATTATTCTGAAAATGACAGTAGTAATAAAAATCAGATACGTAAGGGACCCTTTGCATTGTTGATACACATTTTATTTCTAGTTTTCCTCAGTTTTTACTATTTCTTCTAACTTTTATGTATATTTAAGTTTTATTCTCTATGACTACATACCTGAGAGGCTTTTATTTTATTTGAGTTGGACTTTAAGAACTTCAGTGGCTTATTTTCATGTAAAAGAGTGTAAATAAGCTCTCATTTAGATTTCACGTGATAAAATACTTTCTTGGCATGAGTGATGGAGACTTATGGAAAGAGAGTGTGACTTGTGTACGGTAGGTGAAATGTGAGTTTTGTAGTCACACAGACCTGGGAATTCAAACTCATACCTACCACTCATTTGCTAATCTCTTCAGACAATTTATATACCGTCATTAAGCCTCCTTTTCCTCAACTGTAAAATGAGGTTAATGCTTTCTTATTGCAGTTTTGTAGGATATAAAAAATAATATTAGCAGAATAATGGGAAATTACAATTTTACTATAACTGTAAATTTAAGTATGACTATACCCTTGAACTAATCTTGGATTATCTAGTGTAATACTGGGATCAGATTATTGGTGCTCTTGGAAAAACGTAGTTCTAGAAATTTTGTATGGGATATTAAATAATCATTTGAACCATTCAGGATTAGAGAGTGTAGAAGTAGAATTTCTGGTTAGCTCAATAATTGAGTAGCTTGGGGTGGAGCTTGTCTCTGTATTTAAAGAATCGCATGTTTTATGTTCGGTTTTCAAAAAGAAAAATAAAGGTAGAAAAAGTAGACAAATCTTATTTTTCAATGAATAAAGGAAATCATATTAAAGAATGAAGTCAATGAGCCCAAACTCTGATAGCTAATAAAATCTTTAGTAGGAAAAAGTTATGTTAAAATATTTGGAAATATTTTTTCTACATTGCCCTTATTGGCATTTTTCTAACTGGACTAAATTAAAAGTAATTTCAATGAAAGTTTTTTTGTCAGTATATATAAGATAATTCTGTTCTGAAAGTATATCCCCTTTTAAAGTCAGTTATTGAATCTCAGTTAAAGGAGCTTGAGGTCCATGTTAACAGGAGGCCAGAATTTTTATGTGTTTACCCATTTCTGCACATAGGCAGAATAAGCTTGATTAGTATTTAATAGATCTATTCATAATAACTGTCCCTAGATATCCCAGGGTAACCTATTTACCAAAATCCTGTAGTGAATATTTGTGATAACTAAAGTATCCTTATCGTAAACTATCCTTCTATTTGTTGTTTTTGTTCGTTTGAGTTTTTATAAGTTGGATTTGCCCAAAATGTATGTGCTTCTCTTTATTAGTAACGTTAACAAGTCATGTATTTCAAGCCATTTTTCCTACCAAAAAAAGGTCAATTGTTATATAATATTTAAAGGGCTTTATCTCATTGATTCTAATACTATATGGTTTGAATGTGTTGAACAGATGAAATTTAGCTTAAATTGTAAAATTATATAGTATTCCTTCATATGGTTTCAACAAGAATGTTTCACTTGATTCAGGAGTGACAGTGTGATTATTCCACATGGAAAATCATTTTGGATGGCAAGATTCAAATCAAGTCTGTCTGGTCTTACTACTCCTATTGTAAACAGATGAAGCAGGACTCCATAGCATGGTTCTGTTCAGTGAATTTTGAAAGGTCCTGATTGTGTTTGAGAGTTATGCTTTATAGTACCCTAGAGGAAAATGGAAAAAGGCTGCAACAAGCATCTTTTAAACTGAGAATTTACTTTTTAAAGTGTTTCTAAATTTTCAGCTTTTTTAGGGTCCATGTTTTTTATAAAGGGTTAGCTCACTCAGTCCTATAGGTGTTAATAGACATAATTTCAAAGCAATATTTAGGGCTTAGTTTCCATAATAATTTGAATAAAAAAGAGTAGATCTTTCTGAAATGAGAAAGGGATCAAGAGATGAAGAGAGGGGAGGGAAAGAGGGTGAAAAGGAATTAAGATGTGTTATGTACTGTAGCAGCTTCACACAAGGGATGTAAACATGTACTGCAAACATGTACTACTAAAGAAAGAAAATGGTAAATAATGACTTCTGGTTCTATGAGCAACATGGTGGGAACTTAGTTCCAAATTAATCTTGGGAGGGCTGGGGATTTAGCTCAGCGGCAAAAGCGCCTGCCTGGCAAGTGCAAGGTCGTGAGTTTGGTTCCTGGTACCGGAGAAAAAGCCAAAAAAAAAAAACAAAAAAAAAACAAATTAATCTTGGGAAACACTGAGAATCACAAAGAGAAGAGGAGAAGAAAGAAACCCTCACGAACTAAAAATAAACAGAAACGAGTCGACTGCAAACTGACAGTAAACTACAAAGAGGACAAATTAACCTGTGTATAGATAGAGACATACAGATGTCTCTCAGGAAGTTCAGTAGAGATAAAGTAGCCTAGAAATGAGAAAAGTAAAAGGAAATAAAATTAGAAGTGAAGACAGGAGTAACATGGGTCAGAGAGAAAATGTTAGCTGCAGAAGACAAGTAAGGGAGAGCCATCATTTGCACAGGTAGAGACTCCTGTGCAGAACTGTGGTGATGCACTTGTCCTTGGTCGCAGCAGTGCTGTTGTCTCAGGTTACTGTACATAGGGCAAATTCTTAGAGACAACTCTAGACTGTCCTCATGATAACTCTAGACTGTCAAAAAAAACAACATAAGAAGGACATTTGAAGGGTGTGAATCTTGGTTTTTGCAAACTTCCTGTTGGTACCTTTTGGTAATACCAGAATAAGTCAAGGAGGCACCAGATCAAAATTTGGGAAAAAATTGTTAGTGGCTTGGAAGCAAATGCTGCTGACAATTAGTGAGGGGGATGTAATTAGATAAAAGGAAAAAGTCTAGTATTTTACATGGTGAGGTTACTAGTTTGCAACAACTGATTGCATATTTTATGAAGTTGGAAGGCTCCAAACACAAAGAAATGATTAGGAGATGGAAATAATAATTATCCTGGTCATTACAATTGTACTATATTGAATTATCACATTGTATTTCATAAGTACATACAACTAAAATGAGCAGAATCTTTTTTAAAAAAAAACCTTCAGTTTGAAGTAACTTAGACAGAAAATTTCTAAAAGAAAGAACTACCTTAAACCATTTACTGAGTTTTCTGTTACTAGCAGCTTATATTATTAAAATCAAGAAATTAACATGGATACAATGCTGCAAATAAATTATACACTTTTGCTAGTTTCCTATTTAATATCCTTTTCTGGTCCAGGAATTAACCCAGGGTCCTATTGAATTCAGTTTGGATGTTTACTTAGTCTTTTCATCTTACAGTCTTTGTCTTTTTTGACTTTGACATTTTTGAATGCTAGTAATTTTGTAGAATATCCCTGAATTTGGATTTATCTGATGCTTTATTGTGATTAAAATTAAGCATTTTTTTCTGTGTCTGTTGAACACAGGACCTCCCATATAGTATACACATGCACCACTGAGCTACACTTATAACCCCTTTTCCTTTTATTTTGAGTCAGGATATAGTTGCCCAAGTTCGCCTTGAACATGTGAGCTCCTGCTCTAGCCTCCTGAGTAGCTGGAACCCTATGCACGGAAAGTCAAGCATTTTTAACAGGAGTTCTGGAGCAGGGACTCTGCCCTTCTCAGTGCCTCGCTCCATGGTGTCAGTCTGTATTATTGATGACGTCAGCTTTGCTTACTTGCTGAAGGTGGTGCCTGACATATTTCTCCACTGTTAATGCTGTGTTTTGTTTTTTGTTTTTTTTTTGTTTGTTTGTTTGTTTGTTTTTCTCCGGTACCGGGAACCAATGCTGTGTTTTTGTTTGATAATCCTGCCGTGAGGCTGAGAACATACAGATATCCCGAACTCGTTCTATTTTTGCCCACTGATTTTAGCAGCCTTCAATGACACTTCATGCCCAATAGTTATAATGGTGTTTTATTAATATTTATTAATATTTCCATTTTCCTTTTATTTTGGTTAATTGGGATTTTACTGTGAGATTGAGCTCTCTTCTGTCTAATTTATATCATGCCACCCTGTTTTCTACATTGTAGAATGAGCTGCATGACAGGCAGAGTAATGCGAATTCTTTGGAAATAAAACTGTCTGTACTTTCTTTCCTCAAAAATTAAAAGTTGTTTACATAAACCTTAGTGAAAGTCCAGGTAATGTCACTCACTGTTTTGGTTTTTTTGTTTCCTTTTTTTAAAGTTTAGAACAAACTGTGACAGATTTTTCCACCAGGACATGTATAGTATCTACCTTCTATTAATTACTTTTACTGTATTGAAAAGATCTATGTTTAGTATTCATGTAAATGCCAAACATTAAATCTAGAAAAAAATATCCATTTTGTTTTCTAGGTGCCGGAGCAATTCTTATTCCTCGTTTAGACATTGTGATTTCGTTTGTGGGCGCTGTGAGCAGCAGCACATTGGCCTTGATCTTACCACCTTTGGTTGAAATTCTTACCTTTTCTAAGGAACATTACAATATATGGATGATCCTGAAAAATATTTCTATAGCTTTCACTGGAGTCGTTGGCTTCTTACTAGGTACATATGTGACTGTTGAAGAAATTATTTATCCTACTCCCACAGTTACAGAGGGTACTCCACAAAGTCCTTCTCTAAATTGGAGTTCAACATGCTTAATGTCTGGTTTGAAATAGTAGAAGCAAAGTTATGAGTCTTTTGTCTCAATTCTGAAAATGATTGAAATAAGAACCAGTAAAATGCATTGCTATCCACTAAAAACAAACCAAATTCTCTTTTCCTTTGGTACAGATTTAGGATTTTGGCAGTAAACTCCTAATTACCAGTACTGGTAAACTATGACAGATCCTTGGTTATTAGTTATAGCAATAATTTTTTTTAATTAATTTTGAAAATTAAGAAATTAAATATAAAAATTAAAGACTAAAATCTTTTATTCTTTATTTCTATAATAAGTGCTTTAACCAAGATTTTTCTCTTTTCCCTATCTTACTCTTTTGCCACCCAATCGACAAGATACAGGATTTCAACAATAAGATAAATAAGGACATATATGACAAAAATCTCACTCCACATTATCCCAGTGAATGTCAAAGTAAATTGTGTAATGTAAAATAACTGATTTGTTTTTATTAGAGAGAAAAATACTTATGCTAAAGCCCCTGGAAGGATAGAAAACTCCTACTAACCATAATGTAAGCATCAGAAAATCACCAAAACTGGAATTATTTTTACACTATATTGTAATGGTAGTTGGTCTTCATACTAATCAAAAGGCACTGAGCGAGATTCTGTCATCTTATTTGAGTCAAGTTTAAGAGGGTCTTTACAGATTTCCCAGGGCAGCTCCCTTATTTTTCAGTGGAGGAAATGGATTTCCAGAAAGTTTAAGTAACTTGGTCAAGACCACTCACCTTTGAGATCAAGAGAACCTGCTTTTCTGACTCCCCAGCCAGGATTTCTTTACTTTTCACATCACATTGAAGAAGAAAAATAAATTATGTGTAGTTTAATTTTAATGTTGAGTAATTATAGTTCCATGCTTTGAAGTGGGTGTGTTATCTTTAGATAGTATACATGACATGAGCATAAAATTAGGAACACTACAGCTTCCTAAATCTCAACAATGGAAAGAAGCAGTGTTCTTTCAGACAGAATCAAGACCATTGGCCAGTGTAACTACTGGCTGGTAGGGTGTGCTAAGATGTAGTCTTTATGGTTTAAGTGCTTCTTATGTTTCTTTCTTTCCTCATTTTTGAGCCACCATCTTCCTTAATGGCAGAAAATAGATGGTTGACAAAATACAGATTTTGTAGGCTCTTTTCAGACATGTGGCTTTCCTGATCACAGTCTGTTGATCTGACTGGAGAACCATAAAAGCATGCTTAGGAAGAATGGGAACAGTAATACCTGCTGAGATACTTCCAGACTTCTTCCAGGGAACTGGCTTCTGTCGCTCCATAGACCACTTGTTCACCCAAGTGGAGTATCTCATTTGATGGGGACGATGAAAGTTAAAAAATGGAAAATAGTACTGTCTCATGATTTAAAAAATTCACATTATAAAACATGAACGTTTTAATCAGCCTGGTGGTACTCTAGTGTGTAGTACTGCAAGATTTCATCAAGCTAACTGTACGGAATATATTCTTTATTTTTATATGTAAATATTAGCTTATTCAGATATTTTTTGCTTATTACATTATTAACTGGTCATCAAGTATGATCCTAAAGATATATCAGAAGCTTTATTTTGGTACAAATTCATAAGAATCGGACTTTTAAAAAATATTTCCATTAAATATTATCACTGATTACTTTTGATACTTTTATATCAAATCTGTTACATTCAGTCTTTAGTCATATTAACAGAATGTGGAAGAAGATATAGGAAACGTTATCTTCGTTGAAACTAATGTGATATAATCTTGAATCCAAGAATAAAGGAGATATTTAAAACATTTATAATGTTATAAACTGAGCTGAAAACCATTATTTAATCCAAAGCAGCATTGTTTTTAACAGGTGTCTTCACGTTTGTAGTCAATGCATACAGTTTTATTTTTCTATTTTAACTTGTTCATTTTCATATGGAATTAATCAAATGGAAGAAATTTTGAATCATTGATCATAGCAATAAATAATTTTAAAATGTGGTACAATGTCCACCTTGGGCTTTCTTTGTGGTAACACTGTTAAATTAATATCTACCACTAAATTCACTAAATTATCAGTACTTCAGATATAAGAAAGAAGTACTTAAAAGAAGAAGAGAGATTTGATTCTCAACAAGAAATCCTACTTAGGTGTAAAATGTAAATATACTCTTATTTAAGAATATTTAATGATATATTTATCGGTGGATAATTTTTTGTCTAAAATTTAGTTTTAATAAGTCATAATATTTTCTAAAGATCTGTCGAGAAGATATTTTGATTCTACCAGCCATTGCTTTTTATTTTGGGAGCCTAGAGAAATGAGAGCATTGCACCTGCCAAATTATATATGTGCTTTCTTTTGGTCTATTGCATTATGGCTAAAGTGACTTCAGCATTTATCTGCTGCCACAGTGAACAGTTCTCCCCTAAAAGTTAAGCAGTTGCCCTGGAATCACTTCTGCAACTGAGTTGGCAGAAAGAAAAGCTTAATGTACCTATGATGAGCTCTATGCAAAGCTAGTTTTCTCCATTCCCTTACACCCAAAGAGTTTCAGCAGAGTCGGAATAATCCTGACAAAATTCTGGTTTTGAGGCTTTTTTTTTAATCAGAAGATCTCCCATATGGCTAGATTTCTTCACAGTTAAAGAAGTTAGAGCTACCCATCAATTTTTCGTGATTGAAGACAACTTTAGATGGTGCTATCAAATAAACACAAGTTCTGTATTAGCAAATGCCACATTATTTTAGTTCTGGTTTCAGTAGATTCTTTTTACTAAAACCATTTCTGACTCTTGTTTAAACAGTGCACTTACATTTTTACAAGGAGTTTATGACAGTATGAGTTGTAAATTTCCTAACAGAGTTTGATCTTCATTATTTTCATAATAGTCCTGTTTCAAGGTACTGTAAAATACTAACACTGTTCTGTATTAGTGCCACTTCTACCTGTGGGAAGGCACCACAGCTGTGAATACAGTGTCTGCATGGTATGCATTTATTTACTGACATTATATCCCTGAAAATTAGGTCTCATTCTCACTTTTCTTCAGTTAAGGGGAGGAAGGGATTGAGGGGTAACTCAGTGGTGGTGTCTTCTGAGTATGCACAAAGCTCTGGGACCAGTCAACACTAAAGAAAGCTGTACATTTGATGGAAACAATAAATACAGTTATTTAATCAGCAGTGCCAGTGGTCTAGTGGTTCAATGAATATTATCTGTTGAAGAATAATATAATCTGGTAAAAATATAGGCCATTTATAATGTAAAATGTTTTTAAAAATTGGGTTTACTTTAATTGTCTCAACTAGCTTTCTGTTCTTAAGAAAATGTGAAAAATTGGTATAAAATGTGCAAGATATTTCCTAGCATTGGTGTAAAATGTGCAAGATATTTCCTATCGTATTTCCTGACTGTAAAAGTTACTGTTTTGCCACTAGCACTTACTAGGCCACAAACTTTTCTGAAACTGGTTGGTTTTGAGCTAGGCAACAAAAAACATTTAATAAGTGACTAGAAATGGTATTTGTTCCCTGGGATAAGTGAAATAAAAGTCACTGAAATTGTTTAACTTTCCTATGAAAATGAGCTTGTTCCTATTTGCATGCATGTGTCCTACCCGCAACATGTGCACAGTGGGAGTCTGTGAAGTGTATACAAATACTGATTTATCATTTAAATTGGATGCAGGAAGTGTTGTATTAAAAATAATATCACTCTAAAAGTATGGCATTGGCGTTTTATTTTTATTTTCTTGGTACCGGGAATCAAACTCAGGACCTTGAGCTTGCTAGGCAAGTGCTTGTGCCACTGAGCTATATCCCCGGCTTGGCATTGGCGTTTTATTGTTAATAAATAGGAAAATATATATTTATATCAGGAATAAATTAAGCTGTAGATTTTTGTGCTTTTTGAAATAATTTTCAGTTTGTATAAAAACTATCATTGCACTTGAGTCAATTCATTTGTTTTTTTGTAAAGGAATATGAAAAATATGTCTTAAATGTACTGTAACTGAATTTTTCAATAAAATGTAATTTGCTTGCAGTTGCTTTTTAAATAAATTTGTCTTTTATAAGGTTAAGTGGATTTGACAGATATCCTAAGTTGAAAATGACATTTGTATAATATTCTCATAATAACATTTTAATCAGTCTTTATGGTTCATTGTCATGTTGGAAGTTGATAGTAAATACCTATAAGGTTTAAGAGCAGAGGTTGATTAGAAATGAAAGGACACATTCAGAACACTGACCTGAATTTCCTAGAGTGCATGTAAGATTAATAGTATGTAGATGCTGCACCCATGGTTTAACTTAGCACTTTTTTAATTTTAAAAAATCTAAAAAGACTTTAAATATCACCACAAAAAATGATAAATGTATGAGGTGAAAGGTATGCTGGTTACTCTGATATGAGCATTGCATATGTACATGTATTGAAAAATGACATGGTACCCTATAAGTATATGGAAATCTTTGTGCGATTTTTAAGAGAAAAAAATAGGAACAGATTTTTATAATAAACACCTTAAAATTTCCAGTTTCTTGATTAAAAGACTATCACTCATTTTGCTTGAATTATATCACTGAAACAGTGCTTCTCTAAAGCATTATACCAACCTTATATCAAAGACCATAAAGATATTTTATACTTTGGTACCAATAATTCTGTTCTTGTGAACTTCATTAAAGACCTCTCAAAGACAGACACTATGCCTAAATGTATGCCTGCACTATTATGTTTTAATAGGAAAAAGTTGGAAATGACCGAATTGTTCAATAATAAAGAGCTCATTCAAGAGATGCAAATTAAAACCCCAGAGTCCATCACCAGAGAGTATGACTATTGTCAAGAAATCAAGCAAGGGGCTGGGGACTTAGCTCAGCGGCAAAAGCACCTGCCTGGCAAGTGCAAGGTCATGAGTTCGGTTCCTGGTACTGGAGAAAAACCAAAAAAAAAAAGAAAAGAAATCAAGCAATAACAAATTCTGAAGGGACTGTGGGGAAAAAGGAACCCTTTTCCACTCTTGGTGGTTGTGTAGACTGGTGCAACCACTGTGGAAATCAGTGTGAAGATTCCTAAAAAAAAAAATAAAAAAGCCTGACTAGGATTAGAGTGCCCATTCAACCCAGCTATTCCCTTTTTGGGTAACTTCCCAAAAGAATTAATAACATACCACAGTGATATATGTGCACCCGTGTTTATCACAGCACAGCTTGTCATAGCTAAATCTTAGAAACAACCCACATGCCCATCAACCCAAAGAACGGATAAAAAGATGCAGTATTTTTATACAATGGAGTACTACTCAGCCATAAAAGATAGCATTGAGACTTTTATAGGTAAATGGATGAACTTGAAACCATACTCATAAGTGAAATAAACCAGACTCACATGTGTAATCATTGTATTGTCTCCCTGGTGTGAGAAACTGGAAGAGTAAATAAGATCCAAAATGCACAATAGTCATTGTGAAATGGGAAGAAGTTGTTCAGAAGGAGAGAGGAGCGAGGGTGGGGGAAGGGGAAAGGAAGGGAGAAGGAAAAAACACAACATAGTTATATTACTAGTTTCTCATAGTTCATTGAAAAGTTTGTACTAATACCATTTGGAGAAATTTTTGTGCCCATATCTTGTACTCTGAGTAACTATGAAATGTATTAACTATTGTTACTGACTATTGTATTAACTATTTTTATTCTGTTATTTTGTTATGAAATTTTGTTTTATTCCATAAAATGATGAGGTCATAAATTAGTATTTTAGCCAAGAATGAATATTAAACTTACACTGAAAATTAATAATTTGGGAAATAATATGTAAAAATTAATTGTTATGACAACTCTGTAAAAATATGCTTTTAGACTTGTACAAAGAGATATGGAGAAAAGGTTAAGATAGTGTCCTATTTTTAGTGTATCCTACTTATAAGTGTTTGGGTTTTACTATTTTTAGGAGTTGTGAGAAGAATAAAGGGAGATGGTTTGAGGAAGGAAATCTTAGGACTGGGAGTATAGTTCAGGTAGAGCCCAAACTTTGCCTGTGTGAGGGCCTGGGTTCAATCCCTGAAGTCAAAAGCAAACAAAATGAAACAAGAACAACAAAAAACTTGGAAGTAGTACATGCTCCTGACAAGCAGCAGAAGGGATGAGATCTATGTTTGAGCTAAGGATAGCACTATGTGCTAGAGATACAACTATAATGGAAAGTCACATGGAATTCGTACTGGAAGAAAAAATGGCATCTTAGCTTTTCTGTTGCTGAGACAAAACATCTCCCAGCTGTAATTTAAAAGGAGGGGTTTATTTTGGCTCATGGCTTTCAGAGGGTTCAGTCCATGGTTGGTTGGCTCCAAATCGGAAGACATGCTGGAAGAGCATGGGGCAAGAAAACTGCTCCCTTTATGGCAATGAGGAATCGGAGAGAAAAGGGCACAGTGGGGCCTCAGTGACCATCCTGAAACTGGGCCCCTCTCCTAAAAGCGCATTGAGTTGCACTCATCAGTGGATCAATCCATTGGTGAACATAGCACCCCTACGATTCACTCATCTTTCAGAACCTCTACCTCTGCATCCAAGAGACATTTAGGGGACATTTAGAACTAAACTAATACGTGCCTACTTGGGAAAATTCATTTTCTCAAACACAAAACCTTTTCAGTAGTTACGTATAATTACATACATACTTCTCAGATTTTGCACATAGAATGCTGTTGCTCACATTTGTGAAATCCATGGATGCCAGGAGAAAGGTTTCTTGAGAAAGCTTTGCATCTGTTATTGAAGAAATATTGTTCAGTTTCACTGTAAAGGTAAATTTGATGATTTGAAATGATATGAGGGAACTGGGGCTTTTGATTCTCACAGTTTTCTGGTACCATACAAAAGGGACAAGCTAGTAGCAGATGACTAGCTAGTCTGCTCCTCAAACTAAAGCTAGTATGCTCATCTTGCCAAGGAATAAGGAAGTAATTTGTTATTCTCTAGGATGGACTTTGATCTATGTTAAAGGACTGGCTTGGCTGTTGAATACCTTACATGTATGCCTGGGTAGGAAAGATGTGCTGTGGGTCCAGCACAAGGTTGAGTGATCCAAGGCAGAAAAAAGGTTGATGTGCAGGCATTTAGCTCCATGGCATGGCTCCTGCCTGGCAAGCATGAGGGCCATGAGTTTGATTCCAGGTTAAAAAAAAAGAAAAAAGAAAAAGAAAAGGAAAAGAAAAGAAAAAGAAAAAAAAGTTGACAAGGCAAAAACAAGTAAAATCAGTACAGCACCTTTCATCTGGACCTGTACAGCCCCACTTATCTTCGCAGCTACAATATCTAACCACTCCACAGGGACATGGAAGGTGTGTGAATAATCTGATCTTGTCGCTGTGTTTCTGTTCTACTTCCCAATCTTGGCTGCAGAAAGATGAAGTTCCTTACTGTGAACACTGCCCATGCTCACGCCACAGGTCATACCAACACCAGACTGCTTAGGACACTCCAAACACAGGACACGTTCTGCGTGTCACCTGCCTGTCTCCACCCCCACATTACAGCTATTTTCTTCTACTCCTTGCCCCGTTTCTTCCCCTCTGGCCAGTCCTTAGTTATTAAGATCCAGTTTATGTGTCTCTTCTACTAGGGAGTCTTCCCTTATATTCTCACCACTACCCAGGTGAATTTTCATTTTGTTTGTTTCATATTTCCTTACCTTCCTTGGAGAAGGTAAACTCCAGAGGGGGTGACTTTGTTGTCTTCAGAGTTTAGAAGAATGTTAGGTTCATGGTAGATGTGCAAAAAAATTGAGTGAATGAACTGACTTTTTAAATAGCAAAGAAAAGCCTGTATTAGAGCTCTAGTACTTCATAAAATTTTTAAGTGCCAGGGCGAAGTCATACTATTTGTACTGTTACCTTTGCCCTGTGTATATTTGTTGAATGAATGTGGCTGACCCCCTTATCCACTGTTTATGCTAGTTTGAAAAGCTACAATACTGTAAAGCAAAGGCAACCAAGTCTGAATATGTTACAGAAAATACCATTAAAAGAGATTGGTTAATCATCACAGGTAGATAGGAGAGAAAAGTTCTGGTATTCTATTACACAGAGGGTGATTATGGTCAACAATATTCTATCATGTAATTCAAAATCGCTACAAGAGAAGGAATGTTCCTCATAGCAAAGATATGAAAATGATTAAGATAATGGAAAATCTAAATACCTTAGTGGATCAATAGAGAAAGACCCCAATTTATGAATGAGCTCTGTTCTGGGAGAAGCTTGTAAATCATATTGTTTCATATCTGACAAAGTGAGTCTTATACAGTACACCTGTGAATATTATATACCTGTGAAAGTTTACAACTTGAATATTGGTAAGTCAGGGACTTAGCATATTTAGTATACTAAAACATCACACTCTACCCCATACAAGTGCACAACTATTATCTGTCAATAAACATATTTAAGAGGAGGGATGTATCTTCTGGTAGGTGCTTGCTTAGTATGCATAAGATCCTGGGTTTGATACCTAACAGCTCAAGAGAAGAAGAAAGTTAAAAGTAAGAAAGTACTGTGAATCAGACAAATCTTAAAAACAATCAGGAGATTCTAGTAATGGGTGGGAAGTCTACAAAAAGGAAAAGATTTAAAAATCATTTCTCCCAAGGCTTTGTGTCTTAAAATTTTACATTAGAAGATTAAATTTTGTGGAAAAATAAAGTTATTAGCTAAAATGCAACAACCTAGAATGCAAGTGTACTTCTCTGTCTAAAAACA